CCTTTTTATCTAGCCCTTGAGTCAAGCACTCTACTAAGCCCTTTATGTATATTACCTCATCTAAGCCTTGTGATGGCCTTTAAGAATAGCCTTATGGGGGGCTGTTATTATCTCTGTTTTAGAGATGAAGAGTCTGAGGCTTGGCATACTTGAATTGTTCTCTCATGCTTTAAATAGCTCACTCTAGTTACACAGAATTGAATCCAGGTATTTTAACTCCAGATCCTGCTCTCTCCATCACTGGATCCTGCTTCTACTTTGCTCCACTGTGTTTCTCTCAGAAAAGTCTTATAAATCCAGCCCCTCCTCCAGCTACAGTTACACCAGTTTACATACCTGGGCTCCAAAGCAGATGGATTTGCATCGGAATCCTGGGGTCCCTGCCTACTGTGTGACTTTGGACAGGTGACCCTCTCTGCCTTTCATTCCTCATTGATTAATAGGTAGGTACTACCTATATCACAAGTTGATTATAGGTTTTAAAATTAAAAAATACAAAGGAAAAAAGAATAAAAGCTTAGGTAACCCATGTAAAGCTCTATACGCTTAATACACATAGGTCACTTAGGTAACCTACGGAAAACTTAATCCACTTGTTATTGTTATTAGTATTCTCCAGTATAAGCCCTCAAATGTTTTCACTTTGTCTCAAAAGATTTCCAGTCGGTCTCCCCCACATAAGACCTGCTAAATTCATTCTCTCCATTATTGTCAGAATTATTTTTTAAAAAGCTAAGTCTGATCATGTAATTTCCCTGCTTAAGAGCCTCTGATACTCCTCTTCTACATGGGATTGCCTTTTATGCCATACTAAAGCAGTGACTTGAAATCAGATTTAAAAACAGACAGAAATAACCACAAATAATTTTGAAAATAAAGGCAAAAGCGAGCACATAGCTCCTGTTTTAAGAACAAGGTAATTATGTAGCTCATGATAATTACCTGTGGGCATTGGTAAATACGTTGCAGCTTGATAATTGTACTCCACTGCAGGTTCAGATTAGAATGTTCCTTAAATTTACCACAGAAGGTGCTATTTAAAGAGTCAGGCTAAAACCTGGAATGAGAGAACCTCTTTGGAATTATAGCGGCATTTCCAAATCTTTGCAATTTCCATCTGTTTCTTTTATGTGGCACTAATAATCAATTCAGTTAAATAATTTAAAATCAACAGATTCTATTATTTCCCTGAATTCCTGGCAAACAATTGAGTCAAAGTAATGAGGAAAGATAGTTGATTTGAAACCTGGAGAAGTGTTTATCAAAATATCAATTAGGACTCATTAGTGGCACATGAAATCAATTTAGTGTCACCTCCCCCCCAGAAATTTTTTAAAAAATGGAATAGAATACAGTTTAAAAAATACTGCAGTATGCTGCATCATGGAAGGGTATATTCTGTGAAATCTGTTTCAGTTGTATGTATGTATGTTTACTGGCTTGTAATATAAAATATATTTCCCACTATGGTATATATTTCCCACTGGTTTGGGTCAAAAACGTTTTAAAGCCACCACCCTACAGAACACAGCAATATCGTTCAAGGAGTGGGATCAATTCCAAGTAGCCACTTAATAAAATTGGTTTAATAACATGATAACATTGAAATCATATCCCACTTGGGCCAAAAAAAAACACCAATTACATAATTATAATCCCAAGAGCATCATCAACACCTGATTCATTCACCAGACTTGGCTTCAAATAATTTTAAGGAGTTCAAAAAATCAAACCCATCTCTAAGAGGTGATCATTCATTACCACAGAAACTATGCAGAAGTATTTGCCATAACTTCCGAAGTCAATACCAAAAAAGCAATTTGAGAAATATTTTCAGCAAAAGCAAAATCACTAAAATCAGACCCAGATCACTGTTTTCCAGCTGCTCCTGATGTTTGTTTGCATATTTATCACATTTAATTATAATTCTTGTATAATTTTTCCCAACAAGACTGAGCCCCTATCATACAGAAACTTTATTTTATTATTGCTGTATTCTTAGTGCCTTTATATATATTGTCCAGCACACAAGAGACATTTCAAAACGTTTGTCAAGAAAACGGTACTCATTTAGATAAATATATGTTCTCAGACTTAATGACTGACTCAAGGTCAGAGCATATGCTAAGCCTATTCATGCTTCTTGCCCACTTTAAAGAATATACTTCTCAAAGTCTCTCAGCTCTACAGAACAGCGCTTGATTGGAGCTCACATCTCATAACTTTTTTTAAATTTATTTTTATTTTTTGCTGTACGCGGGCCTCTCACTGTTGTGGCCTCTCCTGTTGCGGAGCACAGGCTACGGACGCGCAGGCTCCGTGGCCATGGCTCACGAGCCCAGCCGCTCCACGGCATGTGGGATCTTCCCGAACCGGGGCACAAACCTGTGTCCCCTGCATCGGCAGGCGGATTCTCAAGCACTGCGCCACCAGGGAAGCCCACAACTCATAACTTTTAATCAAAGGAATAAAATTTAGGAATTCCCTGGCCATCCAGTGATTAGTACTCTGCACTCTCACTACCAAGGGACTGGGTTCAACAGTCCCTGGTGGGGGAACTAAGGTCCCACAAGGAACAAAATTTAAAATCAAAATAAGACATTATTTTGGGACTTCCCTGGTGGCACAGTGGTTGAGAATCCACCTCCCAATGCAGGGGACACGGGTTCAATCCCCGGTCTGGTAAGATCCCACATGCCGCAGAGCAACTAAGCCCGTGAGCCACAACTACTGAGCACGCGTGCCACGACTACTGAAGCCCTCGAGCCTAGAGCCCGTGCTCCTCAACAAGAGAAGCCACCACAATGAGAACTGTGCACACAGCAACAAAGACCCAACACAGCCAAAAATAAAATAAAATTTAAAAAAAGATATTATTTTGATATCAAATTATCATGGATGCAAGCAGGGAAACAAGCAATGTTTGTGATGGGGAAAACTGAGGAAGGTAGTTTGGAAATACACATCAAAAATCTTCATATATACTTTTTCTTGTGAAGACATTTTGCTTCTAGTTCTTTACTCTATGGAAGAATTACAAATACGCAAATATGGACACAAGAGTATTAATCTCAGTGTGGTGTACAATAAAGATGCCTAATACTAGGCAATTAGTTATGTAAATTATGGTAATTATCACAATAGAATAATATGCAGCCATGAAAAATAATGATGTTCAATTATCTTGGCATAGAAAGAGGCTCTGAAAATATGCTGTAAAAAGCAAGTAATAAAGCTGTGCACTGTAGAATATCATTTACATTTTTTTATGAGATGAGACTCATGTGACATAATTAACCATTTTACACTGAACTATTCAGTGTCTACTTAGTCTACTTTCACAATATTGGGCAACTGCCACCTCTGTCCAATTCCAAAACATTTTCATCACCCCAAAACGAAACCTGTATCCATTATGCAGGTGCTTCCCATTCCCCCCCTCCCCCAATCCCTGGTAACTACCAGCCTATGTTCTGTCTCTATGGATTTACTTATTTGCGAATATTTCATGTAAATGGAATCATGTAACACGTGACCTTTTGTGTCTGATTTCTTTCATTTAGCATAATGTTTTGGAGATTTATCCACCTTGTATCAGTACTTGATTTTTTTTTTTTATATAGCTGAACAATACTCCATTGTATGCGTATTCTATAGTTTATTCATTGGTAGATGGACCTTTCAGGTGGTTTCTACCCTTTGGTTATTGACAATAGTGCTCCTATGAACATGGGTGCAGTGCAGAATCATTTTAATGATAACAAGTATCTGTTGGCAGAGAATAAGTGCAGGAATATCAGCAGTCATTATTTTGTGATGGAGAGATGACAGATGAGTCTTTTTACGTTATGAAGAGCCTTGGGCTTTAGAATTAAGAAACCTGCCTCTATTTCCTCACTTGTAAAGTGAAGAAAATAAAAACTACCTAATTGAATTATTGTGAAGAGTAAATGAAACATTTGTAAAGTACTTAGAAGTACATGGGGCCACGAGGTAGGTACTGAATACATAGTATGTTTTTTAAAAATCTTTTTTGGTTTTACTTTTTGGTGACATTTACTGAAAATATTTTCCCCCAACGGAATAACATGTTAAACAGGCTTTTTTTTTTTTTTTTTTGAGAGTGTATTTGCATGCTACACACTTAAGATGCATGTTTCTCTTTACTCATAGTCATTTGGGCTGGTGCCAGTCAAAGGCTGCCCAATTGTTTGATCTGATAATATCACTGTGACTTAGCTCTACAGTGTAACTCTCCCTCAAAGTTTCAATTAAAATAATGTTCCAAGTAGCGTTTACGCCAACCCTCTGCCACAGTTCCTGTTCCATATTAGTCTTTGTTTCGGCACCCCTTTATATGCTGCATATGCAAGCATCAAGGTTTATACATTTTAGGAAACGTACAGAAGAAACGGAGGGACGGGTCAAGGGCACAGGCTTTCTTGTAGACACAGCTAGGAAAATACTTTGCGATCAGGTTTTTTCAAATATATAAAATTGCCTCCAGAATTCTTGCCTTTTTGTACTCCCTAGAAAACCTCAAATTTTATTTTTCATGGCAAACTCAAACTTCTCTGCCAGACGAGCACATCTTGAGCAGAGAAGGGTCACCGTCCGGAGCGGGCAGGGGCCTCCCCGGGTTTGGGGAGGCTGAATTCGCGTCTGCAGCCCCGGCGCCGCCCCAGCGCGGGAGTTTCGAGGGGAGCTTGGGGACAGCTGCGGTGTCACGTGGGGAGGCCGCGCGGGGACCGACGCCTGGGGCCCGAGTGCCCCCGGGAAAGCCGGTGCCAAAGGGCCGCATCCCCAGAGCCCAAACCTGGGCTTTCGCTAGGGCCTTGCAGGGAGGGGAGCTCGCCTGCCCGCCCGCGCCGGCACAGGTGTCCGGGTGACGGCGCAGAGGTCCCCGCGGGCGGGGCCGGCGCGCCAGTGCGCGGGGCCCGGGGGCCCGAGGGGGAGGTTCCCGCGAGGTGGTTCTGGGCTCCTCCTCGGCGCTCAGGTTTCCTCTTCCCGCCCGCCGGCTGCTGGCTGCGGCGCCGCCTCCCTCCCCCTCCCCCCACCCGCTCCACGGCCTCGGCCCGCCTCGCCCCCGCCCGGGCCTCCTCGGGCTCTCTCTCTCCCTTCCCCTCGAGCCTCCGAGGAACCCGCAGCCGCGGGGCGCCCGGGAAGATGGCGGCGGCGGCAGCGGGAGCCGGCGGCGAGGGGGGCGCGGGCCTGGGCGGCGCGGCGGGGCCCGAGCCAGAGTCGGGGCCGCGCGGGCCGGACCCCTCCGCCGAGGCGCGCAACGACGCCCGGGGCCCGGCGCCCGCCGCGCTGCACCCGGAGGAGGTCGCCGCGCGGCTGCAGCGGATGCGCCGGGAGCTGAGCAACCGCAGGAAAATCCTGGTGAAAAACCTGCCCCAGGACAGCAACTGCCAGGTGTGGGGACGGGCTGCGAGGCGACGCGTCCCGGGGGCTACGGGGCAGGAGCTTTAGAGAGAAGCTGCCCACGCCCTCCCCCCACCCCCCCGCATCCCCCGGTGTCCAGGCTGGTGCCCGGTGCCTGGGAGCGGTCCGGGGGAGGAGGGGGTCGTGCAGAGTTACGAGAACGGTCCTTGGCTTTTGCAGAGCCCCCGGGGTTTAGTGAGTCCGCGGTCGTTCCGCGAAGGAGGCACATTAGGAAACTGAGGCTCGGAGAGGCGAATGAGCTTGTCCAAGGTCACGGGAATCTGGAGCGTTGTCTCTAAGTTCGGCTGGTTCCTTACTTCCCCTGATGGCCCAGGGTGGTGTACTGGGGGAAGGGGTCGGGGAAGTAAGTGAAGGAGAGCGGAGGTGAGCTGCGGAGCACAGCTTGGGGGTGGGGGACAAGTCTTCGGGAGCACCCTGAGACTGGCGCAGCGTCTCAACGGGGTCCTCGCGACTTGGGTGTGCCTTGGGGGGGCGGGGTCATGGGAAAGCTGGGAGTGAGTTTTGCTGTTGCAGGAGCACTTGACCAAGTTTGTATGAAACAACTCTGTCCCCTCAGTTTGCTAAGACCCTGGAATAGAGAGGTTATCGCTGCGGTTTGGGGAGCCTTGCAGCCGTCTTCTCCCTGCCGAGTACTGGAGGATTCGTTCCTTAGTGACTCCGAGGAGGCTTAAAGATAGGCTACTCTGTGTCTTTGATCCAGATTAACTGTTGCTTTAAACTCTGCATCTATTTGACTTTTTTTTTTTTCCTCCTCGATTACCAAAGTTACGTGCTCATTGTAGGAAAGCTAGAAAACACAGAGAAGCGCAAAGGGAGGAATAGAAATCACCTGTATTTTTGATACTTAAAGATAACCATTGTTAACGTGGAGTATTATCTTTCTTTTCCTGTGCGTATGTATTTTTTTTTTTTACCAAAAAAAATCGAATTTCTTTGACTATTAAGGCTTTCTTGTCTAGATGTTCACGTATCTTTCACATTTAATTGGAATTTCTATATTTTGTGGGGATGGGGAGGGTGATCTGTCCTGGTGGTTGCAGATTTGGGGCTCTTCGTGTAGTTCCTCCTGTAGTGGGATGCATGGAATTGCAGGGGAGCTGCCTGTTGATAACTGCAGCGGTTCTTCCATTAGATCCGTTAACTATTGAGACCAATGCCTCATTACTATGTAATTAGACCTTACATAGCCACTCACAATAAATGTGAGCATGTAACCTTATAACCCATAAACATGAAGGGCCATTTTGTTTCAAAAACAATGTAAAAAAGTCTCTGTCAGTGTTTGTACAACTCATCCCTCTTTCAACTCTTCCCATGGTTGTCTACTTCCCCTCAGGCAGGTGATGTTTTGTAATGCTATAAGGACACCTGCAATGGACTGATTTCATAGAAGCAACTTTCCCGTGCCCACGCAAGTATAGGACAGCAAGTGAGCACAGAAAGAGGGAGGCTTGGAAAAGGCAGATGGAATTAAAAAAAAAAATTGAAGAAATAGCAACTATGTGTGTAGATCATCTGGAAGAGAGGTGGAGAAGTGTCTTAATTTCCTTTGTAGAATGTCAACTATTTTTGTTATCACATTTCTTTGCATTAATTTTCAAAATATTTGGACCAAAAATTTTTGATAATTCTGTCTGTTCTTCCTTTGGTGTTGGTATCTTTCTCATCTCCCTTCTCAAGAGACTTGAAAAAATATATTAAAGAGTCTAATAAAAGGAACAGTTAATTACCTGTTGTTAGTGATGGAGAGAGGTTTTATGAGAGTTATACTGATTTGTAATTTTGAGATATTCTTTCTCTGTTATGAATTTATGTTTCACCTAAATTTTAGGAGTTTTCTGTAAGGTAGCAAGCATAAACTATCAAATAAAGTTGGTTTAAGATCTGTATGTCTAGTTGGGTCTTTTACTGCCAAGTAAAGTATCTTAAATTTTTATGCCTTGCTTTTTGAGAGCTGAAGAGTTTCGTCTATAAGCAAAAAATAAATAACTAAAAGTTGTTAGGACCTAGAGACTAGTTTCCAGACTTGTCCTAGCCTTTGTTTTTTTCTATGATGATTTCCATAACAAACTATTATTTTAAATATTTCTGATAATATAGTTTTAAAATTTAAACAGATCAGTGTTTGATTACAGATAACATTTGTTTGAGTAGTGTTTTTCTTTTCTCTATTGTCTTCAGTGCTTGTACCTTTCCTAAGTTTTCTGATCACAATCATATTATAAATATCAATGGTCTGTGTTACACGAATAAGTAGAATAGACCGAAGTATGCTAATTTCTAAAAGCAATTAAAAGACACTCTTTTCTTCAGATATTTAAACTGAGTTGCTATTTTTATTATTCCAATAAAATTAATATTTACTTGATCTACTTCTCAAGTTGTAATATTTTCTTGAATATGTTCTGCTAGGATTTTTTGTTTGTTTTATCTTTTATTTACCTTAACAATTATAATTCTGTTTTTACCTAGTGGCTTCATTTTACTGTCAACTTACTAGTGAAGAATTAAGTTTAATCTTATTTTGTATCTTTTAGCCAGTATCAGCTGGATAAACTCCTGTTTCCTCCTTATGAAGTGACTAACATGGTAAAAAAAAAAAAAAGTTACTACTTTTTGTTCAGTTTCTAAGTAATCAGATATTTTAAATACCCAAATTCTTGTTCTTTTCTAGAAGAGTCTGTGTTCATTTATTCTGGAATATCACATTAAGGATCAAAGTCATTCCTAACTCTGGTTCTCAAACTGTATAGTTATGTTTCTAGAAAAGCTATGTTGATGATTGATCAGTAGGAACCCAATAATTTTTTCTTAACATTTTTAAACCTTGGGTGTTTTCTTTATTAAACATAGTTTTTATAAGTCTTACTCATATTTTGTTTAATTTTTGGTATAACAGCATATACCAAATAGCATCCCACAACTTTACACTTCCTATGATTAGAAGGCACACTGAAGGTATTATTTTTTTTTAACATCTTTATTGGAGTATAATTGCTTTACAATGGTGTGTTAGTTTCTGCTTTATAACAAAGTGAATCAGCTATGCATATACATATGTTCCCATATCTCCTGCCTCTTGCGTCTCCCTCCCTCCCACCCTCCCTATCCCACCCCTCTAGGTGGTCACAAAGCACTGAGCTGATCTCCCTGTGCTATGCGGCTGCTTCCCACTAGCTATCTATTTTACATTTGGTGGTGTATATATATCCATGCCACTCTCTCATGAAGGTATTATTTTTAAGTGGGAGCTTTTAAAGGTACAAATGTCAAATACCTTACAGTAGTAGAAATACTAACTCTAAAAAAATGAACGCCTTTATACTAATAAGTTCTCAAAAGAATAGTTACTGTGGCGTCTGTCAGGCGCTGTCTGGTGATCATCGTATGCTTTCCGGAATCCTCCCAGCCCTCTGTGTTCTCGTAGCTTCAACTCTGGTTCATATCCTTTTCATCTCTTGCACAGTTACAACCTTTCTGCTTGTCACTTACCCTCATTATTGTGCTGTCTCTTATTTTTTAGCCCATCCTGCTTACTGTTTCCCTGAGAGAGCTTCCCAAAGCACAAATCTGATATCACTCCCCTATTCAAAACAAGAGAAAACAACAACAACAAAAATCTTTGGCTCCACATTCCCAGCACTGCTTCTCAAACTTTCCCTCAAATTCTCCCTCATTTGTCTCTTCTCAAATTGTAAGGAATAGTGAACCTGAATTAGCCTACGGCAAGAGTGAAATTGCTTTGAAGCTTCATGTTCTGTCTGAAAAATTCACATTAATTTTATGTTCTAGGAAAATTGGATTTAATATAAAAACAGTGACAAACTCATTTAACTTCCCTCCAAATTTTTTACATAAACTTGACACTTATGGAAGATGCGCCACAATTATCCTATGATTTTCCATACTCCTGTATTACCATGGAGTACTCAGACCCCACTTGAGAAGCATGACATACTAGGATAGAATTCTAAGACTCGAGGCTTTTTTTTTTTTTTTTTTTTGCGGTACGCGGGCCTCTTACTGTTGTGGCCTCTCCCGTTGCGGAGCACAGGCTCCGGACGTGCAGGCTCAGCGGCCATGGTCACGGGCCCAGCCGCTCTGCTGCATGAGGGATCTTCCCGGACCGGGGCACGAGCCTGTGTCCCCTGCATCGGCAGGCAGACTCTCAGCCGCTGCGCCACCAGGGAAGCCCTAGACTCTAGGCTTTTTGTGACTTGGCCCCTGTGTACATTTCTAGTCTCATTTTTTATTGGTTCTACCTTGGATTCTACTCTAGTTTTTTAAAGCTACCTCCATCCCTGAGTACTTCATGCCACTGTGATTTGGTATTTGTCTTTGTTAGTGTTTTGCAATGTTATTATAGTGATTAATTTATCATGAATAATATTTATAATAATTATTAGAATTATTTATAGTGAATAATAACAATGCTGTGAACACTGGTTCTTCATTGTAGCTACTGTGTATATGTGTGTCTATATGTGTGAATAGTCTTTTGCAACTCTGACTTTAGAATTTTGATTAGTTAAGGTAATGCCCTAATATGTGGTTTTTACTTGTATTTCTATAAATTGTTCATATTTTATGGTTAACCTGATTCTGTTTCAGTAGCATTGCTACTGGGGTTTCAAATTGGAGAAATAGTGACATTTATTTACTATATTGTTTGAGTTCACTCACTTGTTTTTTTTACATATCGTATGCATGTACCTGTATTTTGTTTTTGTTGTAGTTATTTTTAAATCTGAAAGAGATTTTATTGTGTAATTAGAAGAAAATGTGAAGTGCTTAGGGCTAAATAGAAGAAACATTCTGTTGTCTCACTTTGGGTATTATTAACTTTCATTTCAAAGTACTCTATTAGGGTAGTTAGTTGAGAAGCTTGATGGTTAATTCATAGAGGCCCATTTGAAAGCATAGCACTTTTTAGAATAACAAACCACCAAATGTAGGAAACTCTGGTTGAT